AGAGACCCAGAAAGTAACAGTCATTTGGGATGATTCAAACCTTGAATCAAAGTCACAAACCAGAGAACTGCGTATTCCTCTCTCTGCTCAGAACAAGCACGACAACAGAGTGAAAAACAAAAAGTACAACAAAAGAACGAAGACCAGCTTTTCTCCAACTACTACTATTAAAAGCCATTTTCAATCGTTATCAATCAAATTTTGACCTCATTAAAAGAATTTATCAGTATTTACTGAGATACATTCCAGTGAGTTCCTGCCCCTTGTTGCCCCACATGTTTAATTTTAACTTTAAAATTCAGGATACAGAGCTCATCTCATATCCAACCCAAAAAGTAATTACAAATTTTATGTGAAAAGGCCAAAAACTTATGAAGGCATCCAGAGAGAAAAAATTATAATGCATTTTGGGACAGGGAAAAGTTGATACAAACGGGCGATTTGGGTGGAATGAAGAAAAGTGAACATGATAACCGCATCTACCTTGTGATAAAATAACAACTGAAATTTAACACAAGAGCGCAAGGCGACTATTCAAACCTTTGTTGGTTTTTTTGTACAACACGGTGGTCCCAACTAAAGCAATCTGAAATGATTTGGACTTGGACCAATGAACAGTGATCCTGAGTGTGCTGAAACAGCATTGCAAACTTGATCAGTGGACGCACAGAAAAATATTTGTGACGAAAGGAACATCAATGCACTTGACACTGCATATACACTACACTGAACCTTCTTTTAAATAAGTTTATACTTTAAACTTTAAGTGACGGCAAGGTTGGACAAACATGAGCACTATAGATTGAAAATTTTGGAAAAGAGGTCTACTGTTCCAAGATAAATTTTTGCCTCTACTAAAGAATTTAAAAGCAAAGTTCGAGCAGTGCACTGCTTTTGGGGCCAAAGAGAGTCAAAACAATTTTTTAAATGGTTTTTGATCCCCAAAACTCATATCTTGTGAAGTCTAAAGTGGTAATTTTTTACTTAAATTTTCAAAAACAAACAGTCAGATCCAGCATATAACTTCAATACCACAAACATCCGATGTGGTTCACTGTCTACCTGCAAAATACTTTATGTTCAAAACAACAAAACAGATTCCACTTCAATTTCAATTCACTTTGTTTTTTAAGTGAAAGCAAAACAATTTTTCCATCAGCGAAAGGAATTATCAGTTTTACTTTCTGTATAAAACGAAAATAATAAGTAAAGAAAATATAAAGCCCTTTTTCATTTGTTTCTTGAAGCAAATATTTCCAGCAAAAGAAACTTTAGTCTTTGATCTTCTCGCGATCATCAAGAGCAGATCGTGATTAAAAAATGAGTCATCTGACTCTGTAATTGAAAGAGTGCTCACACTCGTATGTACAAAGGAAAAAGTCCAAAAGTACTGACATGAAATAGAATGTATATGAATTTGAATTTGTGTTTGAATATCACATGTAGGGGAAATAGAGAGAGGAAAAAGTATAAAGATTTAAGGAGCAACTGCATTATCACAATATGTGCGGTTTGTTGTGAAATATGAACAATGAACAATATCGTTAACAAAACTGAAATAGTGGCTATGGTATGTCGGCCTATTCAACCTTACATATGTGAACAAAACCAACAATGGAAGACTAAACAAAAGAACCACATTAGAAATAAAGTTCAAGAAATTTTTTTTGATTAACAACTAACATCATTATTATTTTATAATGTAATAACAATGCAGCTGAACATTTATAGCAGAATTTTTTTAAAATCAAAACAGAAGCATAAGATACAAACTGCAAACAAAAATGTTGAGGCAGGCGGAAAGTACAAATTCTGTGATAGTAAATTTTTCAGTTTTGTTCTCGTTACACGTTTCCCAATGGCAACAAAATCAACAGCATCAGGGCCAGCCATGACTCGAGAAAATAGATTCTTTACAAAATACCCTCTCTTCACTCTATCAGTAGAAGGGTCAACACAGAATGGACACGATACACATTTTCCATTTGTTGTTGAGTTCAAAACAAGTTCCACACACCTGGTGCAGACATTTAAACACAATATATATGTACCGGTACCATGATATAACATCCTCAGGAATCTTGTCCCCTCAGGCGTGCCAGTGAAAGTACAGTCAATACCATGTACAGCATTCATAGCAGTTAAAAAATTTTCTACACCATACAGCTGAATAGCTCACTGTCTTCAACCTGCTGACATTTTTTTTAACTGCTGGACAAAATAAAACAATTTTACGTTTTTGCTGATAAACAAAACAGACACATGAATAAAAAAAAAGAAAAAAAAACAACAACAAGCAAAATGATTTTCATTAACAAAGTCCATTTCACTGGAGTTTCCACATCACAGATGCCTTGATGATGACTGAAAATAATTTAATGATCAATGGTGTCAAAGGACTAGAAAACTGAATTTAACTTCAAAGTTTCAGGAAATTGAGCTTAGATTCACTTTTTAGTGTTGCAACAAATGGTTTAAAAAAAAATTAATTAGAAAAAGATTCTGAGACTTGACAACTTGAAGATCTCCACAGTGACTTCACCATCTTTAGAGCATAACGTCAACAAAAGTCAAGGGTTCTTGTGCCATTGACAACCAATGTGGCGAAAACCAAAAACCAATCAATATCCAAGATGAAAAAAAAAGGGCAAGTCCCAAAATCACTGTAACTATAAGGATTGGAATTCAGCTTTGCCAACACAGTAGGGAGCTTGGCCACACACCAGCTGTTCCAGTCTCTGGACTAAAGCCACAGAATTTCATAAAAGGAACAGTCTTTAGACATTACAAAAAGTGTTCACTTGATTTCTTAGCCCTTGTGTTTCATTTTGACCCTTTTTGCTCATTTCAGATTTAAGTTAAAAAATCAGTGCTCCATTGAAATTATGTACACATGGTGCACTTCGCAAACTTGTATGCAGGGATACGATACACTTGTGGCGAGGGTTTGACCTCAACCTGTGATTCAAATATGTGCACACTTGATATTAGCAGCTTAGAAACTAAAACAAACAGTCAAGGCAACTTATTCTTTCAATTGACATCCATCACTCTCACTGAGGGTCAGAAATGCCGAGTACAAAACTAAGTTGATGATAGTGTGCACACAGTGAAGAACATGTCATGTTATGCTGTACACAGCTATGGCACCTGACACCCACCAACAAGTTTTGGAACATGGATTCATCATAACAGATGCATTCTGAATTCACTTGTGAGTAAATGTTCACTGTCAACTCACATCATACCTCTAAACACTTTGAAGTGCAGTTTTATGACAATGAAGTTTCATACTTTTTAAGTAGACGTAAATGTTCATACAAAACATCCTGCCTGGGGCACAATGAACTCAACAGAAACACCATTCGTTCCTTAACAAAGTCATGGGTAGTTTCAATCTCTGCACACATTTATAAACCAATTTCAAGTATCATTACTAGCATCTAATTAAATTGCTTTACACTCACTCTAAGGGACCTTCAAAATATAATGTATTAGTCTTGGATACCAGCAAATTAAATTCCAAAATCATTTTTATGACAAAGTTTAAGTCATACTGCTTTAAAACAGTGGCATGAAAATTCTCCTTTGTTCGAAGTTACTAAGTAAAGTTATTCATGACAAACACATTCATCTATCCCTAGAACTGTAATTAATGCATTTAAAATTAAATACTTTTGACTTTGAAGTGTTCAAGTAGCCTACAATGTACATTTTTACATTCTCACAAACTCAAAACACAACTGACCTAGAATATTTGTTTTTAGATAATACTGAATTAAAAGTAGCAATTTCCCAATTGCTGACTTTTCACAAGGAAAACTGAGACAGTGCATCAGGGACTATAAAAAAAAATTTGCAAAGAAATTTTCATTTGCAAGCTACAGAAAGACAAAGTAAGGCTGCGTAAGAAAAGCACAGTATAAGAAAAAATTTTAAGCAAACAAACAGCTTACTGTTTCAGCTGTTATAACACACACCTGTAAATACACGTTTATGGTTATAATAAAATATACTGAAACTACAACAAATCAGCTAAACAGGAAACACTGACCGCTACCAGCTAGTTGAGCTAGGCTATTTTAATCAATTTTTTTCAAAAAAGCATTAGAATCATCCTTTCGCTGAATTATTGAAAGCTAAATCAAATTTATCTTCTGCAATGTTTTAACCCATATTTTGATTCTATTATATACGGCTAATGTTTAAATAAAAGATAATCAATTTTTCAAAAAGTCTGTGGAGTTTGTTTTGACTAAGTGACTAAGTGAGTGCCAGATGTACCTCTATTAAGACAATAATAAATGTAATTTAAATAAAATATAGCTTCAAGAGTATAAAATAACGAAAAAAAGATTATACTGATGTCCTCGCTCTCAATTTTTTCTTTAAAAGCTCACAAATATAAGAATTATTTTTTCATGCACTGGCAAAAGTGAAATGAATACACTTCCCCAAACAAAGTAGGTCTTGGCTGCACCAAAAGAATCTTTTTTTGTTCTTCAACACAAAACAAGATGTCAAAGAAAAGGAAATTATATTCTGATTTCATCTCGTCCTGATAATGATTATAATGGTTACCACCAAAAAAATAGTGGAAGTATTCATGTAGTATGTAGTTACAAAGTAGGAGAGGAAACTCTTGAAAACAAAAGGTTCTATGTTTTCACAAGCCAACAGATCCTCTTAGTGCTAAATTGTGTAGTTGTACGCTTAATAAGATTAGGAAATTTTGACACATTAGCCCCCCCC